TGCCCTCTGCCACCTGGGAGCAGGCCTAAGCCAGCAGGTCGTTATCTCCCGAGGGGTCCCAGACTGTGAGAGGGCACAGGCCGGGCTGGGGGACCCCCTCCCCCCCCCCAGTGCACAAATTTTTGTGCACTGGGCCTCTAGTATTATATAAGGACCGGACAGACCATGGTCAGGTATGAATTTCTCTTCCTCATACTGAGAAATATTTTTCTAGAAAAGTCTCAATAACATTGCCTCGTTCAAATCACTACCTATTCATTTACCATCAACTTCCAAGAAACAAGCACATGAAATTAAAATTGTCTTGTCTCTTTCATATTTTAATTCAACCATACAGTCACCTACAGATAAGGAACATTTCCTTTTTAATTGAGGATACAGTTCTATCTCCTTCATAGGGGTGGTGGGGATTCTTGATGAAAGAATCAGGAATTTCAATACCCGGTCAATATTTTCTCTCTAAGATTGCTCAGTGTGCCACCACACTCAGGGTGGCGGGCTTGAAATCTTCGTTCAAGCTAGTTGTATGGCAAACGCCACATTATTTCAAGACACTTTACAATTTTTCATGTTCTCCCCTCCCATGTTGGTGTATACATACAGGTGCACCTCCTTACCTTCTACTGCGCATTAATCTTACCTCGGGTGGCGCTACCTATTCCACATAGGCATTATCCATCAATACACACGCAGGCTTCTCCTAGAGGCACTCGGCTAGGGGTTGCCAGCCGGCGTAAAACAAGCCATTTACATCGATTCAGGGGATCCATAAAGCTGAAAGTCATGGAGGAGGAGTTGCTAGTTAGGGCAAGAGTAACGGTACAACTGAGACAAAACTATTTCATTGAGAGGCTTTCAGGGACCCATTTTCCAGTGTCACTTTTGCTGTAATGCACAATTGCCCCCAAATAATGCAGGAATCAAGAATTGCCGGAAGGACCGAAGCCAAGACGCAGTACACCAACTCTACAGACAGAATGCTCTGCGGTATCATTCACCTGCCACCCACCCAGCCCAGGTAATGAAATACGATACGAAAATGCCATTCTTTTTAAACACTTGGAAGGATGGCTTTGTTTCTTCTATTAGAAAACTATTGAAGTCCATAAAATTGAGATGCCTTTAAAATGGTGAAGTCTTTTCTTTATTTAAAATGCCAAGGTGCTGTGTATAGATTGCGTCAAAAGAGTGTGTCTGATCCTGTGGAAAAGTTATTTCACCACGGGATTCCCTCCTCAAGTTGGTGCGCTATATAGTTTGCATGCTAAAATCTCCTTGACCTCACAATTTCTCTCTCATTCCCACATTGCATCAGTCAACAATCCTTGCTAGTTCTACATCCAAAGCTCTAATCAAATATATGCCCTTTACTTCCACGTACACCGCTTTAACTCGGGCTCCTATCATCTCCCCAGACAAGCTATTCTAATAGCCTGCAGTCAAAAACTCCTTTCTTCCTGACCACACTCAAAGGCCACCTCCTCTGTGAAGACGCCCCAGCTCTCCATGGCATGGTGCAATCACTCCAACTTGCTTTGTCCCGGGAGCTCACATACACAGGACTCTTACAACACTCTTTACTGCAGAGCTGCAAGTAAGAATATGCAAGCCGCATGTGCGGCCGGCAGCCATGCACTGAAGCGAACAGGGAGGCTTAGGCCTGCTCCCAGGTGGCAGAGGGCCTAAGTGTGATTGTAAATGTTCCAGGAGCCTCCTCTAAAAGGTAAAAAGGAAGGGGTGAATTTTAATAATACTTTTTATTTAACCTGGTGTATCCAAAATATCATCATTTCAACATATAATCAATACAAAAATATAACAAGACAGTCTACAGTTTCTCATATTAATCCTTTGAACTCCAATGTGTATTTCGCATTTGTAGCATATTTCCAATTTAGACACTAAACTGTCATCAAAAATAACTGATCTGATCCAAAATATCATCATTTCAACATATAATCAATACAATCGGCCCTGCTCTGAGGAGCTCCCCCCTGTCATTCACAGAGCAGGGCCCCTCCTCAACCCCCTGATGGGCCCTGCTCGTATTTACATGTCATAAAAGTACAGTTGAAAAAGTACAGATGCACATATCTAAGTTGTTCCAAATGTACTAGAAATTTTTATAAGAACTGTATCAAATATCAACTTATTTTAAATTAAAATAAAATTAACATTTAGAAATCAGTTCCTTGCCCTGGCTGGTTTTGCTCTGTGGTTAGAGCATTCGCCCATGGACCAAAGGGTCACTGGTTCAATTTCCAGTCAAGGGCACATACCTCAGTTGCAGGTTCAATCCCTAGTCCCAGTCAGGGTGCAAGCCAGAGGCAACTAATTGATGTGTCTCTCTCACATCAATGTTTCTCTCCATCTCCCCTGCTCCCTCCATTCCACTCTCTCTAAAAATCAATGGAAATAACATCCTCACTCCTTGGGTGAGGATTAAAAAAAATCAGTTACTCTGTCACATGAGCCACGTTTCAAGTGCTCCATAGCCACATGCAACCAGCGGCTATTCTATTAGACAGCGTAGCTCTACTATAATTATTTGTGTATACAACTGTCTTCCCCACATCAGACCACATCTACTTGTATCCTCCCCATTGCCTTGGCACATAAAGGGTGTTTAATGAGAGTTTGTTGACTAAATAAAGAAAAATAAATGTGGAAATCACTTGACTCTATTGTAATATTAAATCAAGAACATTCTTTCCTAAGGATATAAATGGCCATTTCTATGAATACACATATACACACACATGCATGTACATGAGCACAGGCCTGAGTGAAAACTAATTAAGACTAAGTACATTTGATTTGTAATAGATTCCTTTAGTAATAAAAATGACTTCATACATACTACTCCCCCTGCACCTGTGCCTCCAGCCATCTATTCTCCTTTCCTTAAGGCATGTATGGGTAGTCTACACAATTAGCACTTCATAAGCTTTACATTCTCTAGTTGTTTTTCCTATCTACGTCTTGCCTCTTCAAATTATATTTTATGCTTCTGCAGAGAGAGATCATTCCTTGTACTTTGTAGCTATCACAATGGTGATAACAAAGTACAAGAATTTAATACATGACATAGAATCAATTCTCAGTTGCCTTCTTTTCCAGTCATGCCTTTTCCAATCAATCCTAGAAGCCCAGCCTCTCAGCAATCAGATTCATACCAATATGTCTGGATAGCTGCAGCCAATAACCTCCCCACATAATTAGTACGTCTCTCTGTGCTACAACGCATTTTGCATGTGTAACTGTCCTTCACCCCCAAAAAGGTGGGATGCTTCCAAACTTTCTTACAATGCCCCGTGTTACCTAGTTGTAGTGCTCTCTTCAAACTGACCCTTCAGTGGGCGTTGACTCCTGTCCCAACTTGCCACCTCCATCGCCCCCTACCCGCCATGGATGCAGCAACGTGACAGAAGGGAGCTCTGTGAGGGTGGAGATCTCTGTGGTCTTGTCAGCAGCATCTCCCTATAGGCAAGTAACTCTGACAAATCAATGCACACATAAATTTCCACAGAGGGGCTTACAGTAGGTTTATCATTTATTCTACTTTTGCTTGAATAAGAACAAAATAAATGTAAACAGGAAGATGTCTTGGTGAATCAGTCACGGGGTTCCTCCAAGTCCGCGTTGGTGTTCTCGCGCTTGTGCTTGGATAGTTGTTCTTTGATGGCTTCTACCTCTGCAGGAGTGAACTTGGGGGTTAGCATCACAGTGTCATAATCAAATTCTTCATCAAGTTTAAAGGGCTGAACTTCATCCCCGAGTATCTGCAAGAGGTAGCAAAGGAGAAAAATCATTTACAACCATTGTAAATGAAGATAAAGTCCAAAACGTGAATTCCCTATTACTATTTAATTAAACATTTTTTAGACTCCAACTCTCTCAGCTGGTTAGGCCCTCTTTTAAGTAAAGGAATACAGTCACTTATTCAATTTGACCTAATGTAAGCCCCTTAAAATGCCCCATTTGTACCTCCCTGCCTCAAAACAATATCACTAACTAATTCTGCCCACAGCAAGAAGCAGAAAATCTATCTTGCACACATTCATTACATTTTTACCACCTGTAGTGTTAGACTAGAAGCATATGGAAAAACTAAAGGTTTACATTTAAAGTGTGAAAAAATACACCTTAAGATTTTGATCAACCTTGAATACATTTTCACCATTTACCATAAAAGACATATCAACAAAACCATTTTCTTTTTTAAAAATATTTTTATTGATTTCAGAGAGAAAGGGAAGGGGAGAGAGAGATAGAAACACCAATGATGAGAGAGAATCATTGATTGGCTGCCTCCTGCATGCCCCCTACTGGGGACTAAACCCACTACCTGGGCATGTGCCCTTGACCGAATCAAACCCGGGACCCTTCCATCCGCAGGCCTATACTCTATTCACTGAGCCAAACCGGCTAGGGCTTAACAAAACAATTTTCAAAATTAAAAGTACTCTATACTTATTTCATTTACTTCTTCAGATAATACCTATAATTCCTGGTCCAATAAGAGTAGGAATTAAAACACATAGTATCTCCTTAAATTTAAAAGTCCAGGATCCTTTTGTCCTACCAAGAATTTTTAAAATATTACAATTTATCTACAAGCCAGAGTAAATGCAAAGAGGTATAATTATTTTGTGTCTATTTATTCATAATCTGTGTTTTAAACACTTTCTAAAAGAAGGTAGATTTTTTTTTAAAAAAAAAAGCGTATTTCCCACTAAACAAAAAGAGAATGCCTTAAATCTCACTGTATCACCCCTTCAAGAGCCTCTCCCCAAGCAAATGGTGTGTGACACGTGATCTCATCCGGCACCCATGTGCAGCTCTATAATATGTATGGTGATGCTGAAATAATTGAAAACTATGGTTTATGCAGGAATGAAAAAAAAAATGCCCTGAAGCCATAATCAGCTTTAAATATTCTTGCCTGGAAAATGATCTCATTGAGTGGCTTTTGCAATGTTCTTGATAATGGAGCATATAGCTCAGAAACCGTGCTGTTATTAAAGGTGAAAGAAAGAAAAAAAAAACCACAACCATAAAAAATAGATTATCTCCTGTCCGTTGGACGAGTTGAACCTCATAGTTAGGGGTGCAGGGTTAATAGCAAACACCCGGCCATCTTTCGTCCTTTCTCAGTAAAACCAGCAAGGGAACACATTTCAGAGGCCTGTTGATTTCCTCTTTATTAGAAAGTGCGCGCTCTCCTGACAAGGGTGATGGGAGCTCTCACTGGAGTGAGTTCCCACCAAGGGCCAGCCCCGGTACTCGGAACTGTGTGGGCAAGAGCAGTGATCTTCAAACAACCCATCTCACAAGGAGCTGAACGGCGAAGTCACGTGCCCCAGACTATGCAGTCAGTAAGAAAGAGAAGTGAGTTCTGAATCCAGAGTCTTCAGGGAAAGCTTCCCCTTCTCCAAAAACACAGGAAAAATCAACCTGGAAGTCTTCCTTCCCTAAGCCTGGTCATCACCGTCGGGGAGAAAAGCCCTTTCCTAGATAAGCTAAACAAATCCCATAGCACATAATAAAAAGCACTCAAGGCTCCACATAATACCATGGTGTCTGGAGCAGCAAAGGGAGCCAGTCAGCCTGCAGAGAAACCGATCATCGTGGTCACTTTCTGAGATGAAACTTAAACGCCACAGTCAAAGTGACCACGCGGTAATAATGTTGAAAGCAGCTCAAATGAAGAAACACAAGCAGGCAACATGTTCATTTCCTGCATGTGAGCATCCCTGCAGTCTCCACGTCTACTCAGCGATAAGCACTGAGGCTTGCAGGCCTGGCCCCATCCTGAAGGACCGTGACAGGGACACAGGGGAGCACCGTTTTTACCAGTGCATTCCGGCTCAGGGGACCCTTGCCGCCTTGCATACCTGGTTAAAGGAAGTAGGCATCATGCCTCGTTTTTGTATTACCAGACCCTGTGCTAGGCATAGGCGAGCAATGGTACTAGAATGAAAAGGCTGCCGTCCCAGCCTACCAGGAGATTACAGTTACATGGGGTCAAGCAAATTGAAAAGAAGCAAATATAACACAATGTTGTTCCGGGAGTACATACAAGGTGCAATGGGATCCTAGAGCAGGGACACTAACCCCAGCCTGGAGGTCAAGGAGAACTTCCGGGAGTGATGCCTAAGCTGATCCCAGCTCAGAAAGGACTAGTACAAGTTAAAGAGGAAAAGAGAGAGTGAGTCTGAGAGAACAGAGAGGACAGAAAACATCCCAAGCAAAAGAAAATGAACATCTAAGAACTAAGGGCAAGAAAGAATATAAACTATTTAAGAAATTATAAATATGAGAAATAAGAACAAATGTTATAATGCAAAAAGTGAACCCAACTGAAGAAAAAATTGACTTCTTACTTAAGTTGAGGTGTCTAAATTACTTTAGGACTTAGTTTATTTTACACTATAATTTCAAAAGTAAACTTTCTACCTAACATTCTTTCAGAATATGCACACACAAACAGATATAAAGAGTGGTTGGGGAAGGGAGGTATAGATGGATAATTTGTAAATCGTAGCAATTTTAGCATACATTTTTACTAGTATGCATCTTGGGTTTTTTCCAAGCCTCTGACATTATAATTTCGTATTAACATATTATTCTGAGTTTTATTAACATTTAGTATATATCAATGGCTCTTGCAGACTGAATAGTAATAAATCAGTTATTAGAGCAAAGTAATTGTGAATGTGTAATTATGAATACCCTATATAGATTTATAAATCAACATAACATTTAGAAATTTATAAAACAACATAGGACTTAAAAGGTAACTATTGCCCAGCTGGCGTGGCTCAGTGGTTAAGTGTCGACCTATGAACCAGGAGGTCACAGTTAGATTCCTGGTCAAGGGCAGGAATCCCTTGGGTTGTGGGCTCGATCCCCAGTGGGGGGCATGCAGGAGGCAGCCAATCAATGATTCTTTCTGATCATTGATGTTTCTCTCTCTCTCCCCCTTCCTCTCTGAAATCAATAAAAATAATATTTTTTTAAAAGTAACTATTATTTTACTATATATGTTAATGATGCCATTTAAAAATCCTAAATATAAATAAAAAGTATTCCGGTTTTTTATTTAGTATTTTTTACTATATACATGCCAAAATGGTAAATTTTACTCTGTAAATGAGATCTCAATAAACCTAACTTTTAAAAAGCAAAGAAAGAAAGAGAGAAAGAGAGAAAGGAAGGAAGGAAGGGAAGGAAGGAAGAAAGGGAAGAAGGAAGGAAGGAAGGAAGGAAGGAAGGAAGGAAGGAAGGAAGGAAGGAAAGAAGGAAGGAAAGAAGAAAGGGAGGGAGGAAGGGGACACACACTGCAACTCAGAAAACTTCACTGCGAACTTCAAAATGGCAGCTTTCAAAAGACAGCAAAGTCGCAATTCTATTTATGTATTTCAGCTGTTGGCTACTCTGGCACACTTTGGGAATTCCCTTCTTTCAAGTAAGGTTCATCTTAGGGTCCTGAGCTACAAGACTCCAAATTAGTTGCAAACTCAAATTCTGATTTATTTCAAAGAGAAGTATTTGTGCAATGGAATGCCAAGTCTCCCACTATTACACAGAAAACAATTGTGAATTAAGTTATTAACTTGTTATTTTTGCCTAAGGAGTTGAAATATGTGGATTTCAGGTATATAATTTCAAATCTAATTGAAATCTTTTTGAGCCTCTGGGGGAATAGAATTTGTACACTGGCAGAACACTGCTAGTTTCCTTAAATTGCTCATGTGACTTATTCTAAGCGCAACTGCTACAAGAAGAGTCATTTTCATTCAGAGTACCACATAGGCAAGTCAAAGAAAACAGAACTAATGCTCAAATCAATGACAGCAGCATTTAGCTGTAGGCTCTATTACAAAGCAATATGGTAAGTAAACTGTCTTTATAGGTGAAAAATTTTGAAGACCCTATATGAATTGGAAAAACAGGAGATCTCCCATTAAAAAAATACTATACAAGTTTCTTCTATGACCTCTTCTATGGGTTGGGGATGGGGAGGAGGAACTCACAATTTTTCATCTTTCTAATGTGAATTACTTTCATCAAAATGTATTAACTAAGGCAAGAAATTATTCACAAATAGAAACTGGAAGGTTCTTGGGAAACGTTTGACTCTAAGGGGGGGGAAAGCACATGTATAAAACCAGTGATAAAATTAACAACAACAATTTTTTTTTTAAATTGGTCTGATCCATACTAGGAAGCTGTGGATTCCTATTAGGCAATTACAGGAAGTTGGGCCATCCAGGGTACATTTTCATCTTTCCAGACTGTGTCTAGCCCCTTGGTAGACCCTTACAGGTTATATTTGCTGGAAGTTGATGCTTATGGTCTTATACTGGCATTGGGTGCTTTAAAATAAGATTGATACTATTAAACCATGGCAGAGTTGGTGCAGTATTATGATTTCTAGACAGTTCTGAAAAGCTTCTCTTCCAAATGGTGGTTAGAAATAAAAATCCCAAACCAAGGGATATTCAAAAGTTATTCATCTATGTCTCATGAGTTTGCCAACACAAACATGTTTATATCATTTTGATTCCAATATTTAAAAATGTTGGCATTTTCTGGGAAGAAATGTATATTCTTTTTGAAGATGCAATCATATGTAGGGTTTTAAATAGCATTTTACTGGATGTTTGACAGGTTCCAGAAATCATTCAGGGTTTTCTTTTAACCCATCAACTAAAATCATTTTATAAACATTTCCATAATGGTACCAGATGCAGTGACCACTAGTTGGTCAAATCATTTGTATGGTCACAATGGAAGTCATAAACAAGTCTTTGAAAGAAACTCATTTCTGCCAGAAATAACCTTGCAATTTTAGTTTCTTACTATTCAACAAAAGCAATCCACAATTCAAAAAGCACACTGAAAAGTGGCTGTCCCTATCAGTTTATCTGGTAACCAATTTAGGGGTTTAACATAAGCCTACTAGCACCCTACACATAAGTTTGCCATACCAGTGAACAAAGTCTTATAATAAAGGGGTAATTTAAAATTGAAATGCATGGATTATTTCTGATTGAACGACTGCTTCCATAACAAAATATCTTCAAGTGGCAAGACTAGTACCTGATAATTAAATAATCAAGAAACATCTTAAGGGCTTTCTTAGAAAGAGATAATAAAGAGCCCTTGGCAACCTCTGTTCCTGATCCCCTTTCATGTTCAAATGAACTGGGTGCTAACGGTCACATCTGGCAGCCTCTGCTGGTGCACCTTTGTCGAGTACATCAGAAGAGCTGTAAAGGATGGCGAAGGGTGACTTTCAAGTGGTGCATTTGGGAGAGGACGCATGTGGTAGAGGTTCCATTCTACCCTGCTGGGGAAGCAAACAGCTGATGACACTTCCCAGCCTCCCTTGGGGTGGGTAGGAACATGTGACTGAGTGGCTGCCAATAGGGCGTGAGCAGAAATGGAGCCCTGAGCTCTGAGCCTGGGGAAGCAGGCTGCCTTGAGCTCTCATCCCCTGCCCCCGGAAGGATGGGGACCTGACTCACAGCATGTGCTCTCATCCCCTGCCCCCGGAAAAATAGGGACCTGACCTGAAGCATGCACTTGAGGACAGTGTCTGGAGGCAGAGTGGAGTTCCAGAGAGAAGGAGCCGTGGTGAGTCCAGGGAACAGAGCCACTTGCTAACTTGAGAGACCCTCCACAGGTTGTTCCAGGAAAGAAAAAGACTTCTATCCCCTCCACCACTGAATTATTGTTGGGGTTCTCTCCTGGAGCAGCCTAGCTTTACCTTAACAAATACAGGAAGTCTACAGGGCCTTAGGAACAATAATACAAAGAAAAAAGGTCAGTTCAGACTAAAAGAGATAAGAAAGCCATCTGTCCCCTTCCTCTGTCCTTTCGGTTGCATTGTCCCCAGGTAGCACTGGCCTATAGAGCTACGTCGTGAAATAAAAATATTTTCCAAGGCGGGTGTGCTCAGTGGTTGACCATCGACCCATTAACCCATTGGTCACTGTTCGATTCCCATTCAGGGCACATGCTGGGGTTGAGGCCTCAATCCACACTAGGGGGCATGCAGGAGGCAGCTGACTGATGATTCTCTCTCATCACTGATGTTTCTCTTTCCCTCTCTTTCTGAAATCAATAAAAACATATTCTAAAAAAACTAGTTTCCATGTAAAAACACAATCGCTCTCTGTGTTTAAAAAGAAACACATACAATAGCAACAGATGGCCGTGAGAGGGGCCCAAATAAGCCACTTGAATTTGGAATTTTCCCAAATCTGAGAAAAATACAAGAGAGACGGGTAGAGGAGCATTTCTCTGAAAGGACAAGTTACAAAACCACTGCAATTGGAGTACCACCATGGAGTACCTCATCCTTTTGCGTGTCCGCTCTTTCCACCGTGGGCCTTGGATTGACTGCAGGGGTCAGAGGCTGGGCTGCGGGCGGAATGTCAGTTGCGGGAGGAATGCCGGAAGGAATGTGGGTGCTTACGTCCTCCACTTCCCCAGGCAGCAGCGGCAAATCTGCTGGACAGAAAATATTACACTTGATCCTTTCTCGGAATTTACAATTGATCTAAACCATCAAAAGCCTGTAATGGTCCCAAGAATAAAGCAAATATGCTCAGGTAGAGTAGGTCCATCTCACAAGGCCTGTCCTGGTTTGAGATTCCCCTTTCTAGAAACTAGAAGTCCCTGGTACTTCTATTTCTACCCCATTGTTGCAGTTAGATTCCATCCAGAAGGTCTCAGAGACATATTGTTTGGGAATAACTTGTTCATGCCTCTCACCCCTCAACCCACTGTCTACCTCTATAGGAAAATAAGGCAAGAAGATGCTGTTTTTGCCTCATTTTCTCATATTTTCCTGAGGGGAGAAGAGAAAGGAAATAGAGTATAGAATTTCATCCTGTAAAGATATGGCAATATTTCAACAACAACAACAAAAAAGCATATTAAAAAAACAATGATGCCAGAAGGAAAGAACTTTAACTTTTAACAGAAAAATGAACTACTCTGTCACATTCAGAATGCATACTCTACGTTTCAACACCTGCAAACAACAAAAACGTGTTTCCGGCTTATTTGGCACAGTTATAAGAATTCAAGAGCCAATCTTGGTTTTCTGATCAAATCATGATGAAGGGATGTGTTCCCTTATATTTGCACGTGTGAGAGAACGTGGAGGCATCACAAGTAAGTGATATTCTCCCACAGCTTTCTTTAAGGAGGACAAAAAAACACACAAAACACATAAATAGAAGCACAACAGGCTTCGCCCTCAGTAAGTTTTCACAGGACCAGAGGCTGCACGAGATACCCAAAAACTTGCAGTTGGCTCAGGGATGCTGCCTGCTACTCAAAGACGATCTTACGGAAGAATACATTCTCCCTGGAAGTGACTAACAATAGGCATGCCTTGACCGTTGCCAGTGGCAGCATATATGGGGAGACAACTGAGCATGATTCGATATTCGAAAACTGAATCTTATATGAAATACATCTCTCACTATTGTGATGCTGTCGCCTTCACAAAAAATATAATTACAAAACTCATAAGACTCCAGCAACAAAGAACATAGCCTAGAAAACTGAGCATGATTCGATATTCGAAAACTGAATCTTATGTGAAATACATCTCTCACTATTGTGATGCTGTTGCCTTCACAAAAAATATAATTACAAAATTCATATAAGACTCCAGCAACAAAGAACATAGCCTAGACACTGAGCATGTGAGTGGAGGATTGGTGAACAAGGTGGTTTTACTGTGATTAATTATGGAAACCAGAAAATATGACCTGATTAACTAGCAGAAATAAAAACAATAATAATAGTCAACTCTTACAAAGCTGATATATTACATGCATTAACTCAGCTAATCCAACAGCTCCATTACTTCCTGTTTTATAGGCAATGAGCTCTAAGCACTAAGAGCAACCTCATTGAAGGTGCCACAGCCACAAAGTGGCACAGCGAGGCAGTCTGTCTGCAGAGCCAGGCAGTCTGTCTGCAGAGCCCACGATGCCACATGATAAACTTCTTTTAAATAAGCATTTTCATTACATATATTTTTTAAATCTATCAGATTAGCCAAACTCAAGGCCAAGAAATGTCACTGCAATAGCTCCTTAGTATGGCTAGTCAGTTGTAAGTGCACTCAAACATTTTATGCCCAGAGAAGTGCTTTTTTTAAACTCATTAAGGTTGGTGGGAAGATTGACTTTCTAATATATCTATGTATGAGTTCAAAGCCAAACTCAGTGCAACTGCCTAGGACTGGTACAAGCCTGGTTAGGGGCCTGCCAACAACAAAGGCAAGACGAGAAGGTTCGGGCCTCTTAATGTAAAAACCAATGTCTACCAGACCCATTGACCATCAGTGCAAACATCAGTTCAAGTGTAAGATAAAAATCAATTCTGCCTTCAGAGCTATTTAAAATCTGATTGAGAACCGTATGCACCAAGGAGGGCAACTCTGCAATTCCTTTGCTAAACCTCTTCACCTCTAATATTTTGGAGAAGACGTTTTCTTTCATAAAAATTCTACTGCCATGGGAACAACTTCAAAACAAGAAGACTCAGAATCCTCCACACTTTGCTTTGCCATTTGCTTCTTCAGTACAAAAGCAAAATGTACAAATGCGTATCTATTGGTGCCTAACACAGCACCTTACACATAGTATAGTCTCAACAAATACTTAAGGATAGGAAATAAATTTCCTGCATCTCAACTTTTAAACTGAACAGCAAGTATCAAGAGTCTGTGTGCTAATAGGACATTGTGGATGATGTAAAATATGTATAGTTCTTACCCTCAGTAATTAAACTTTGTTACAGGAATAAGATTTTCACACATAAAATCAAGCAGAGAATAATCAAAACAAAATTGAACAACCTTAACTCTAAAGAGGATAGATTCATAAAAGAGTAAAAAGAGTCTGATAAGACAGTTATGAAGAAAGCTACCTTATCTTTTAGCCATTCTATAATCACGGGTGTGTTATTTATATACGCATGTTCTCTCCAGGAGAAAAATGATGGTATTCATTAATGGTGGAGAAGACGTTTTCTTTCATAAAAATTCTACTGCCATGGGAACAACTTCAAAACAAGAAGACTCAGAATCCTCCACACTTTGCTTTGCCATTTGCTTCTTCAGTACAAAAGCAAAATGTACAAATGCGTATCTATTGATACGCAAAAATCACATTAGCTAATGGAATTTGGTATCTCTGTAAAACTATCTAAAACTGAAATGTTTTAAGAAACTTGATCCTATCTTAATTGTTTCTGAAATACTAAAGGCCTTGTTTTCATCTTCACTAAATACCACTCTCTTGGCTGATGTACATGTAGAGTCAAGGCAACTCTCAAAAACAAATTTTGATGCTAGGCAGCAAGACTGAAAACACTTCAATCTCTTCTTTCTCAACTACATAAGAATTTCCAATATTTATGAACTATGTGTTCATGCCATTTGTCTTTCTGTATGTAGTCAATAATCAGCAAGTCAAAAACTATACTCACAGAATCCAATACAACATTATAAAGCAAGCAATCTATCTGACATCTAATAAATTAGGTAAGAATAATATTTAATTGTGTGACATAGTTATTAAATTAACCAATCTGTTCCTTTCTTGTCATGTAGAAATGACAAAAATTTTTTGAAATTTTGGGCATTCTCCAAGACGAAAAAGGATGTAGGTAAATGCTTTAGTAATCCAGGCCTCTTCCACACATAGCTTTCAGCTATGATAGTCTATCTCAGTGGTCCTTATTCTTAAAATTTTTTTGAAAACTCCAAAGAACTTTAGTTTATGTAGGTTATGTCCATGAATATTTATCATATTATAAATTAAAGAGTGAGACTTTTTTCAAATATTTATTTAACTATTTAAAATATCATCATATATTAAAATAAATATTTTAATGAGAAATCTATTTTCCCAAAACAAAGAAAATAGTGAGAAGAGAAGCACTGTTATATAGTTAAAAAAAAATTTTTTTTTGTCTGCCTTAAGCAAAGAAAGCTGGATTCTAAACTTGTTAAGCACTCAAGTTTGGAATATTGTTTCACTTGATGTCAATGAAAATAATCTAGTCTCACACAGATTTATAATTGGAAAAGGGAGGAGTACTTTAATAGTCTTTTTATATAATCATGGACATTCTTCTTTGATACTATACTAGATCTCAAAAAATGGTAAAGTAAAAAAAATAAATTCAACGTGCAGTCTGAAACCATTTTGGTGAATTTTTCATACTGTCATGTTAAAATCTTGGTCAGTTTTACATGTTGAATGGTTCTTTCTCTAATACATGATTTTGTAACATCATAAATTTAGAAAATACTGATTCACTGTTTTATACAGGTCCCTCAAATATAGACATATTTCATTATACAGTATAAAAATCACATTAGCTAACATTACCAATTTTATCAGAAAAGTCTTTAAATATTGGGGAAGTGTCAAGCTCACAGTACTGGATGCACGTCTCCAAAACTCTGTTTTTCACTCAATGCACTGTCAATTTTGTCACTGACAATGAATACTATCAGTTGCATCAGGCAGTGGCTCCTTTGGTTGAGCGTCGTCCCATACACCAAGAGATTGTAGGTTTGATTTCTGGTCAGGGCACTTGCTGGTGTTGTGAGCTGGATCCCCAGTGGGAGGCATGCAAGATACAGCGGATACTGTAGATAGTTCTCTCTCCTCAATGTTTCAATCTCTCTTTTCATCTCCCTTCCTCTCTCTGAAATCAATAAAAACACACTAAAAAAAATACTATCAGTTGTTTGTCTTAAAGAAATAGGCCTACTTTATTCACTTTTTTTTACTTCATTTTTTTGAGAACTATAGTTTGTCATTCTTTCAAGTAAAAATGTTGATCTACATAAAAAAAAGAAAAGAAAAACTGGTTCAAAACACCACTCAATCACACGATTGATTTTCCATGAGACAACCATTGTATTTCAGTATGTAGCATTCAATGTTCAGCATTCAAACAAAAACTACCAGGTATACAAAGACAGTAGATCAAAAGGGGAAATTGATAATATAAATGGACCCATAGGACACCTCAGGTATTAAAATTATAAGACACAAAATTTAAAATAACTGATTAATATGTTTTAAAAAATGCATCACAAAAAATGGAAAATTTCAGCAAAACTAAAGTCTATAAAAATAGATATTCCAGCCCTAACCGGTTTGGCTCAATGGATAGAGCATCGGCCTGTGGACTGAAGAGTCCCGGGTTCGATTCCGGTCAAGGGCATGTACCTTGGTTGCGGGCTCGATCCCCAGTAGGGGGTGTGCAGGAGGCAGCTAATCGATGTTTCTCTCTCATTGATGTTTCTAATTCTCTATCCCTCTCCCTTCTTCTCTGTAAAAAATCAATAAAATATATTTAAAAAAATAGATATTCCATAACTTTTGATAACTTTAACAACTGGAATATTTAGGGATTTATCAGAAAATTAGATCCAGTTCAAGAATGGATTAGTAATCTACAATACA